CCAATCCACAAATACGTGGACTCCACCCACCATCTACTCAAGCCAATCAGATAACAGCCACTCTTCGCTGACCAATCGTAGCACGTTCTCGCTATAGCCAATCACGATTTGCTTCACAATAAGGGCGGGACAGATTCATTTTGCACCCCTGTAAGGAACTGCATTCTATGGACACTTCGTTCAAATTGAGCTTAAGCGCTGTTTGTAATGGTTAAAATGGTTGTGGTTAAAAAAATACTCACACACTTAAATGGAACAAATGTAATGCTTTTCACGGCAAGCCAGTCTGCCAGGAAATGCACCCCCTCATATCTCCCGCTAGGAAAGCGTCACATCCATGAATCATACCCCACTTAATCACATTAGTATTATTACTAAACTATAACTATATATATAGGAAAGTGTCACATCCATGAAACTTCGTCAGGGTAGCGCCATCTTTAAGTTTTTGACAGGAATGAAGACAAGGCTGTGAGGGATAGATGTAGAGTGCGTTCAATGGATTGTACTGTTGTTGAATATACTAACAGCTCAGCAGCTGAACTTAAGCTGACAAAATTTATTTCCTAAACAAAACAAAAAAAAAACTTTCATTGGACAAAAACTCCATAAAAAAGTTTTGAAAGTTAAAATTGTGATAAAATTTTACGTTATACGGTATTGTTAAAAACATCTGTCACTCAGCCTAATTTTAATCAGCGTTAAAACCAATACTGTAGTTCACAAAACAGATACCAGTGAGGATCAGGTTAGGGACTCGACAGCCTGTTAGGAGGGAAATTGCCGGATCCAACAGTCTTTAAGAACAAGCTGTAGCTTTAAAACACAACAATGTGAAAGTCCGTCTGCTTTTCACCTGTAACTTTCTCAAAAGCCCCTCTTCACTCCGCACATCCCACACCTCACAGCCACCAGAAGCGTATGTATACAATCAGCATGATGATGAAGACTCCACCCGCAGCTAGCTTAGCGTACGTGGAGCGAGTGTTCAGGTACTTGGCGTCACTTCTGTATTTCTTGGACAGGCTGGACAAGTTGCTGGCCTTCGAGTCTAATGCTGAGGAAAAAGCATGAAGAAATGAAGAGAAGAAAGCTGAAATTTTGCAGGTTTAGCTCAGGGATCATTTTCAGGCAAAGGACTCTTTAATGGCTAGAGAGACAAGGACCTGCTGTTATATGCACTACAGTTAAAAATATTTAGGGTTGGTATGATTTTTTCAATGCTTTTGAAAGAAGTCTCTTACACTCACCAAGGCTACATTTATTGGATCAGAAATATAGGGAAAACAGTAATATTGTGAAATGTTATCACAATTTAAAATAACTGTTTTCTATTTTTATATATTATTTTTTATTTTTAAATAATATTTTTTAAATGTAATCTATTCCTGTAATGGCAAAGATGAATTTTTAGCAGTCAAGACTAGTCTTTAATGTCCCATGATCCTTCAGAAATCATGCCTTTAGAAATGTAATATGATGAAAACAGTTGTTTTGTTTATTTAATGAGCCCTTGCTGAATTTTTTTTTAAAATGTATTAAATAAAAAAATCCACAGAACGGTAATGTACAAAAATTGGATTTTCACTTGATTTTAGCACCATACTCATACATTTACATTCTTTGGTAATCTAAAATTTTGTTGATGTTTGTCATTAAAGCCATATTATTGTTTTACAGAGTCATATACTTGCTGTAACACCCCTCTGGACTGTTTGTTGTGGTTTCTTCCCCTTTTGTTGGTTTAGCCCGTTCAATCATTAGTTAATTATCCTCAGTGTGCTCACCTGTCTGCCCCTCGTTATCTGCCCTATAAGTTCCTGTCTCGTGTATTCTAGTATTGTCGGTTATTGTGAATGTTACCCCGAGTGTGTGTCTGTGTCTCATCTACCTTGTTGTCTCTACATTAAATATCCTTATTTGAATCCTTGTCGTCCTCGTCATCCTGCCTGCCTCCACACACCGTGACCCTTGCATTTTAATTTACACTTTTAAAATAAGGAAGGACAGTAAAACATTCAGCTGAACTTTAGCTTCTTAACTTAACATGTAACTTTGATTAAATATTGAATTTTAAATGCCTCTAAAATAGATGTAACAAATGTTAAAAAGAAAAAAGAAATAGTTCACGAGAAGTATTTACCAGATAAGGCCTCCCCTCTTTGCAGAACTTCTTCTATGTTGGCCACCATGATTCTCTGTACATCTTGTAGCTCTGTGTTGACGTTGCTCATGTTCCTGCGTGCTCTGCTGTCGATGTATGACTTTTTGGTCTTCTGAATATATGTATCTTTGGACAGGTAATAAAACAGAATTACAAGCTTGTCTCTTGATGGGGAGTAAATGAAACTCTGGTTATTGAGAGAGTGAGGGCTCTTACCAAACTCTATAAAGGAGTAGGGCCTGGAGACCGTGGGCACCTTCTTGCCATGTTGTTCATGAAACTCTGCCTGCAGATCTTCGAGATAAGCAAAGGCTAGCTTTTTAGGAAACCCGGCCTCACAGAGCACCAGATAGCAAACGCCTTTCTCTATGACGTAGCTTTGAAAAGAGGTGAGAAGAAATCTTTTATTAGCCATGCGTTTCATCGTTCACATATCTGTGTGTGTAAAACTAGAACTAAAACGTACTGTGACCTTGAAATCAATTAACTCACCTTCTTATGATCAATTATTTTATGATTTTAGCTGTAGTGTACAGTAAACTTACTGAAAGGCCATTGATCCAGCCTCTAAGGTGCATCGGTTTGGACTCTGTTCATTTAATTTGCGGAAGAGCTGTTTGGCTTGGCTCTGATATTGCTGGAGATCTCGACCCATCTGAGAACAAAAGTGCAAATTTATTAGCCTAGATAAAAACACAGTCACTCTTACTCTGATACATTTGACTCAGTCCTCTTCAGAGGGATTTTACAAAGCTAAAAGTGAACAAACCTTTTCACTTCCCTTCATGGCAGCATGAAAGGAGGAAACGTAGACATGTTAGACCTAAATCAAGTGACTGTTGTAAAGGTAATAAAACTGGGCACCTATTAGTCACATTAACACTATTCGGAGTAACTCTAGGGAAGCTTTTTCCTTTACTTCTTTCAAATCTACCAAAGCCCAAAACTTTGTCTTGGTCCTCTAAACATCAACAACAAAGTTTTAGCATTGAAAAAAAATTTTTAATGTAGGAAATAGTTATCAAGATGTTTTGCATCAGTTCAGCTGCAAGAGGAGTTACAGTTCAGTCAAAATACTGTGTGAAAAGCGAAGAGGAAATCACATACTCATTCTTTATGGAAAATATGGAAGAAATATATCATCTTAACTGTACAATATTTCAAAAAGGCACACTTAACATGTCTCTTCCTCACACAGAGTTATCATAGGAGTATAGCCTATATGGAATATACCATAAGAATCATTTGGTGCCTTTTTGGAGCTTGACAGCCCATGATCACTGTATGCTTTCAATGTACAGAAAAAAATGGAGTATGTTATTTACAAAAATATTTACAACACTCCTTTTGTGTTACACAGAAGAGTCATCATACAACACAAAGGTGAATTTACGACAACCTTTTTGAGTGAACTATTCCTTTGAATGCAGCTATTTTTATTTTTTAAATGTTATATTTATTTAAAATTTGATATTTATTCATCTATATTTATTGCATCAGGTTATTGAATATACTCCGATAAAACACGGATATTTTTGGGGGTAATGTCTCTGACACCATTAATTTAGGGTTCAACCTCAAATGCCAAATTTATTCAAATTAGGTCAGAATATAAGTGGAAACTACAGAAAAATATTTACATTTATTCATTTAGCAGACGCTTTTATCCAAAGCGACTTACAAATGATGATTTTTCATTAGAGTTCACGGAGTTGAAAGATAATGATTGAATAACTCAACAAGTGGCATTAAAGTTCAGACATTTTAACAGAGAAGTTCACATGATATTAAAAATAATTTAAACAATTCTAATATTTTTAAAATGATGTTACTGATTTGTTTGTGTTTTTAACCTGTTTATAATTTTTTTTTTATTATTATATTTAGTATGGTGGGAAGACAAATGGTGTGAGTTCAAATCATGACAGAAGAGGGCGCTGTAATTGATCAAAATTATGCGAATCCATCTAATGAAGCCTCTCTCTGTATGAGCAATTACATCGTTCACACCGAAAATAAACGATATGGAGAGAAATATAATAGCTCAATATTTACTACGCTGTTAGATTCCAAATAAAGCATTTCAAATGAATGTAAATACTCCAACAGACGTCTAATTACTGCAATTTGAGCTAATAAAGGCCAGATTAAAGCAGTTTTTGCTGTTATGGATTACAAATCAAGATAACTAGACACTTTTAGAAGTAAACGTAATGTTTTCAAGATATTGCTCTTTGATTTCTTACATTTACAGTATGCATAGGCCTGAATAAATGATAAAACATACAGATATCACTGAGCTCTTACCTGCTCGTCCTCCTGCATTGAAGCCGCCAGCGGCAGTCCGTCCGCCAGCCGCGCGATCATTGTCAGCAGCACCATTTCGCTGTAATGTAAAATTTACCCACAGCAGGTGTATATGAAGCTGTTAACAGCTGTAAAATGTCTGTGTCTGGATTACAGCTTCACAACACTCCTCCGTACGCTGAGCTGGCCGGAAATACGCGCGGCGTCACTGTATTATTGTCCCGCAGGGTTTTACTTTTCTAAACCACTATCATTGGTTCCGCATGTGAATGGGGATTAGATATACTGACTTTAAAGGACAGAAATTAATGTTAATTATTTAGTTTTGAGTCATTTATCCGATATTTTAGCAGGGACAGTTGTTTTTACCAGTTTTTAACGTCCTATCTAACAAGAGTAGACGCATACCTTGTTGTCAGTTAACCCATCTGTCCACAATGGAATATTTATTTATACAAGTTACATAAATATATTTACATACGTTTCTGGACATAAAATAGCTCAAATAAAAGTAATGAAAAGTGATATCTGTGTGCCTATTTTTTGTCAGCCCCACAAAATCACAGAGCGCCTAAGCTTACATTTTCATTAAAGCTTCAACACTATTTAAAAACTGTGGTCCTTATGATTTCTGACCCCCCCTCGAAGATCAAATCAGTTGCTCTTTAACATTATGTTTGGTCAGGACAGTTACTGGAGACAGAGACTTTTGGACAGAGACCCAGGAATAAAGAACTAGTGGCATTTCTGACACTCTCCAAGGATCAAAAACAAAAACACTTGATTGATAACAACATGAGATGTCACAAAAGTAATTTAAAAGATATCCACACTATGTGTCCAGTTAAAGAAAAACAGTCTCTAATTTGTAGTCAGGCAGCTTTTTCTACAGGAAACGTGGTCATGGCCTGAATTTTAAAGAGCTGAGGTGTCTGTTTCAGACACAGTTTAGTTCTCTTTAGTTGTATTCTCACTGGAAGGAAATTACTAATGTCATTCCTGCTGCTGCCGCTGATAAATGGTCATGTACTGTGAACTACTGCGCTTGTTTCAGCCAAACTGTGGAGTCAGCAGTAAAACAACTGATTAGGTGATGATAGTGCAGTCTCGGATGCGTACTGCTGAGACAGTAGTGAAACATGAACCATGCCCCTCCTACACTGTTTTTCATGCAAGCAGGTATTTAAGACAAAAAAAATCAATCCATAAAAAGAAATCAGACTTAATTTTATTCAGTTGTTTTGAAAGATAAAAAAAATGGAATGTTATATATGAGGTGCTTTTTATGGGAGATTATGTAATTCAACTAAAAGACAAAGGAGGCAGGAACATTTCATCCACTTAAAAGGTTTGATTTGTTCCATGTCATTCTGCCAGATTCCCACCACAGGCTTGAACAGGGAGGAATACAGATAAAAGTGGGCAATGCCAATGACATAACAGCATTATGACAGCTGGATTAATCAAGACAAAAAGAGATATATTGTATGTCTTCTCAATTTCTAGGCCGGGGGTGTCCAAACTTGGTCCTGAAGGGCCACTGCCCTACAGAGTTTACCTCCAACTTGCCTCAGCACACCTGCCTGGAACTTTCTAGTATGTTTAGTGAGACCTTTATTAGCTGGTTCAAGTGTGTTTAATTGCAGCTGAAGTTCTCTGCAAGACAGTGGCCCTCCAGGAGCAGGACTGGACACCCCTGTTCTAGGGCTCTCTAACAACCCAAATAAAAATGGGAAAGGCCAAAGAAAATAAGGTAATGCCAAACAATAATAATAACAACAACAACAAAAAAAAAAATCAGACTAAACAGACATTAAAATAGAAATCTTAAATTAAAGTGGTTAGATTCCAGGCTACTATGAGGCCGAATAAGAACTTCAAAGCAGTATCTTGCATTCTATAATGAATAATCATTTTTATTAATTCCATTTCAACATACAAAAATGTCCCTTTTTGAGCAGTTTTCTGCAAAAATGGGAAACTCAGAGATTAAAACAGTGTGGTGCATGTGATTTTCCACAAAAATTTAGTGTCCATGGACAACAGCACTTACATTTGAATAGAATCTGAAAAGAAGAGTATATCTAAAATATCACTTCCAGAGAAATGGATTTTGTGATACATGTCATAGAGATGATGATTTTCATCCAAAATTACTTACAGGTGCACTTGCTGTGAGTAACGCCATTTGTCACATAGAAATGCTTTTGTAAGTGTCTTGCTCAAGGGCACAATGGTGACATGGCTGGTCCAGCAACCACTGCCTCAGCAGCCAGGATAGTTAACAATTACATCAACATCAGCTAAAAGAAGGTAATTAATACAGTACTAAAGAATAAAAACAGAACAGAAATTACTTTATATGTGTATGCTTTTTAACACATAAGACAAGAACAAACAAAACGTGCAAAACTCAAAGCATTTAGGTATACAAGATCCAGTATATCATGGTGTGAATAAATCAGTAACACTGAGGATTATTTGTAACTCTGTTGGGTAATTCAAGTAGGTTCACCAAAATTTCTAGTTTCATTTCAATGTTATTAATTAGAGAAAACATAATGCTAAATGACTTTAAATGTGTTGACAATTAAAAAAAATAAAGGCAAAGCAAGTGTAAAGTATGAAAAAAGGTACAGTACATCAATATACAGTACTGTAGTGTAAAAAATGATTTGTTTGGAGTTTCAGGTAGGTTCAATGAAATGTCTTTCATTTTAATGTCCCTGAGAGAAGAGTAATTAATACAGTACTAAAGAATAAAAACAGAACAGAAATTACTTTATATGTGTATGCTTTTTAACACATAAGACAAGAACAAACAAAACGTGCAAAACTCAAAGCATTTAGGTATACAAGATCCAGTATATCATGGTGTGAATAAATCAGTAACACTGAGGATTATTTGTAACTCTGTTGGGTAATTCAAGTAGGTTCACCAAAATTTCTAGTTTCATTTCAATGTTATTAATTAGAGAAAACATAATGCTAAATGACTTTAAATGTGTTGACAATTAAAAAAAATAAAAAATAAAGGCAAAGCAAGTGTAAAGTATGAAAAAAGGTACAGTACATCAATATACAGTACTGTAGTGTAAAAAAATGATTTGTTTGGAGTTTCAGGTAGGTTCAATGAAATGTCTTTCATTTTAATGTCCCTGAGAGAAGTCCTTGATTTTCTGTGCTATAGCCTGGGCCTTTGAGACAGGACATGGCAGCAGTGGGAGTCGAGGGGGACCCATTGCTAACCCTGACACTTCACTCATCACCTGCTTATTCACAGACACATCAAAACCTGCAGAGCATAAATAATAATAATAAAAATATAAACTTCCTTGCAATAATATGCACAACAAAATCAAGTCTTACGGACATTTTTCAAATGTTTGAGATCAGTAAGTTTTGTTTAAATACATTTTATTTAGCAAGGATGCATTGAATAGGTCACAAATTACAGTAAAGACATTTATTATCTTACTAAATATTCCCATTTCAAAAAAATGTTCTTTTGAACTTTCTATTCATCGAAAAATTACCAGTTTCCACATAAATATTAAGTGCCAACAGTACTGTAGTGTAAAAAAATGATTTGTTTGGAGTTTCAGGTAGGTTCAATGAAATGTCTTTCATTTTAATGTCCCTGAGAGAAGTCCTTGATTTTCTGTGCTATAGCCTGGGCCTTTGAGACAGGACATGGCAGCAGTGGGAGTCGAGGGGGACCCATTGCTAACCCTGACACTTCACTCATCACCTGCTTATTCACAGACACATCAAAACCTGCAGAGCATAAATAATAATAATAAAAATATAAACTTCCTTGCAATAATATGCACAACAAAATCAAGTCTTACGGACATTTTTCAAATGTTTGAGATCAGTAAGTTTTGTTTAAATAAATTTTATTTAGCAAGGATGCATTGAATAGGTCACAAATTACAGTAAAGACATTTATTATCTTACAAAATATTCCCATTTCAAAAAAATGTTCTTTTGAACTTTCTATTCATCGAAAAATTACCACTGTTTCCACATAAATATTAAGTGCCAACATTTCAACATTTTTAACACTGATAATAAAAAGAAAGGTTTCAGCATATTACAATGACTTCTGAAGGATCATGTGACACGGAAGACTGGAGTAATTGCTGCTGAAAATTCAGCTTTACCATCACAGGAATGAAATACAATTAGAAATATATTAAAATAGAAAACAATTATTTTTAAATTGTAATAAAATTTCACAGTATTACTGTTTTTATTGTATTTTAATCAAATAAACGTAGCCTTGGTAAGCATAAGAGACTTGTTTCAAAAAGAAATCCAAAGATTTGAAAGCTAATGTATGTGGAAAACAATCAACTCACCAAGGTTCTTAGCAAATGTGATAACCTCCATAAATTCAAACTGTAAACAGAAAATCAAATCATTAATTTCTGTAGTTAAAAACATGCTGATAAAATAAAGTCCAAAAGCATCACTAAATGAGAATTACACATGCAAAATGGGATGAAGGATGTACCTGCAGTGCTCTGGTCTGCATGTGGTTGCCATTATCAAAAGCAGCAAGCATCTGGTTCACTATGCGTCCGAGGTAGTTATATGTGCTGCAGAGGAAAGAGAGCATTGCAGGGTCTTCAGTAAAATATTAAGTGTATTTTAATCAAATAAACGTAGCCTTGGTAAGCATAAGAGACTTGTTTCAAAAAGAAATCCAAAGATTTGAAAGCTAATGTATGTGGAAAACAATCAACTCACCAAGGTTCTTAGCAAATGTGATAACCTCCATAAATTCAAACTGTAAACAGAAAATCAAATCATTAATTTCTGTAGTTAAAAACATGCTGATAAAATAAAGTCCAAAAGCATCACTAAATGAGAATTACACATGCAAAATGGGATGAAGGATGTACCTGCAGTGCTCTGGTCTGCATGTAGTTGCCATTATCAAAAGCAGCAAGCATCTGGTTCACTATGCGTCCGAGGTAGTTATATGTGCTGCAGAGGAAAGAGAGCGTTGCAGGGTCTTCAGTAAAATATTAAGGAAAGGAAAGGACGTGACATGTGGCCAAGTATGGTGTCCCTTGCTCGAAATTTGTTCTCTGCATTTCACCCATCAAAGTGCACACACACACACACAGCAGTAAGTAGTTAGCGCACACGCGCGTGCACACACACACACCCAGAGCAGTGGGAAGCCATTTTTGCTGTGGCGCCCAGGGAGCAGTTGGAGGTTTGGTGCCTTGCTCAAGGGTCTCACCTCAGTTGTGGTATTGAGGGTGGAAGAGAGCACTGGTCATTCACTCCCCCCACCTACAATCCCTGCCGGACCTGAGACTCAAGTCAGAAGCTTCCAATGTGTCTAGCAGGTACTGGTTTAGCTGTAATCTATTGTCAAGCCATAACCTTTGTGTGTATCAGTTCTATTGATTTAAAATAATAATGTAATACAAATCTGAGGTTATACTACTCCCAACAAGCAAATCAGTCACTAAATAACAGAATGCAAGAACCAAATCGGCACCACAGCAGGAAAAACAGTGAAAGGTCATGAATTCATAACAACTGCGGTCAGATGAAGAGTTCCAGGATGGCATGATGTTGGCACTCACCTCCCTACTGCTCCATGAACACCTAGTACCAAAGCTCCCAAGAGTTGCTGCGAAACAAAGTGTCAAGCAAAATATATAAAATTAAAACCACATTATTTTAATGTTAGACTAGCAGGAAAAATGCAGTAGATGAACGAGTGAGGGGATTGTATACCTCATCTACTCCAAACATGACAGACCAGTTATGGGACTGACTGTAACAGACACACTGCCCGAGATCCCTCAAGTCAGTCCCAGTGTATTTCACTCCCTGAAATGAGGGGATCATCTGCTCTATCCCATTTAGCACATCAGCTGCATCCACTGAAAAATAAAGGAAAAACTGATACTGGACTACAGGCGTCAGTGCGAATCTGTCACATTCTGTGCAATGCAGTTCTAAAGAATTTACAGTCAGTGTTTTGACAGCCAGTAATGATGACATGTGGGAGCTGCACTTACATGCAACACCAGTCATGCTTGGAATATGATAATAATACATCGGAAGATCTGGAGCAAAGGCGCTCACTTCTTTTATAAACAACCTCAATGCATCTGTGAAAAGAGGAAGAGCAATTAAAAGCATGGTTGGAAATATATTAAAAAAAAATTTAATAATGCAGTGTTTAGGAAAATGGGGTTTAAACCTGCATTAATGGGTTTGAAAAAGGAAGGAGAGATTACTGCTATGCCATCAGCCCCTATACTGGCGGCATGCCGAGCCTGAGGAAAAGTAAAAAACATCCACTCAGCATTTTCAAACAGTCACGAGGAGCTGTTTATCTGCACATGCTGAAACACGAATGGATAAGCAACAAATGAGACGAAAGGAATTTGTGGGGCTTCTGTTATGAAAACGGAGATGTGCATATGAAAAGTGGTATATGCATGAAAAACGCAGTTAATGCGGGATTGCGAAGAAGTGTGCTCACCAGTTCTTGAGAGTCTTTTATACTCATGCAGCCAACATGAACAATCACTTGCTCAAGCCTTAACACAAACATAAAAGAAATTAAACCTCTGGCAATGGAACCTTTTATAAGGAAAAAAGTAATAAAGTTATGAATTAGGGTGTTTCTTCAACTTTGCACATTTTGGGCCTCGTGAACTTTTAGAAAATGTGTTTTTTTTGTGCAATTTTTTTCTGAAACATCATTAACATATTTTTCATCATTAAAATATTTTTCTGTTAACATCTTGTCAAAATCTTCAAGATTTACAACCCTTGTCCCCTCAAGATATTTTTGCTGTCCATAGCTGAATAAACACTATAAATATGCAATAACTCACTTGCCCTTTCCATGTTGGCACCAAGCTGCAGCAAGCTGCTTCCTTTCGTCCACAGTTAGAGAACAGCCCTCACCTGTTGTGCCGTTAACTACCAAAAACAAGGTGGTTTAGGTTACAAATAATATAAATGAGAAAAACGGGCTGCCTTATTCCCCAAAACTTTTGATTAAATGAATAGATTTGACTTACTAAACACACTCTTGACATTCTGCTTCTCTATTAAGTAATCAATGTATGGTCCAATTACAGAGAGATTGATCTCCCTGAAAAAAAAAGAGCAAAGAAGAAGAACAGATCAATGACCAGACCACTGCACCTCAGGCAAATGATTCTGTAATACTTTTATTGAGAAATGAAATATTTCACCCTTCTGCAGTGAGTGGGGTGAATGTTGCTGCCACGAGCCCAGTGAGCTTTTTTACGCTTCTAGACATCTCTGCATTGATACACAACAACATTGAGAAACCGTCAACCACGTAAGCCTACGGAGCAATTCCTTGTTCGGGAATCAGGGTTTGAATGGCCCTGAAAAGTCTCAAGTTCTGTTTTCTTTCTTTATCTCACAACATAATTAGTAAACATTTGAATTCATTCCAGATATAAAAGACAGTCGCTTACCTTCTCTCTCAGTCACTGCACTGTCTGCCTGTTGTACCTTGCGTGTCCGTCAGTGACGTCACTGCACGAGACAATCATGTGATGCGTGCTAAACAGGAAGCGTAGTTGCTACATCTTGAAAAGTAAAACATGTGAGCAATCAGACTTTATTTAGAGGACCTTTAATGCATTACATTAAGACATATGTTGTAATTAATACATACAGTGTGGTGGGATTTCATTCTTTACATTTTTAATAAAAAAATCACTTTCACCTAGTTAGGTGACTTAACTCTGTTATAAAACAAAATCTGCATTCTAGTTATAAAATCATTCGTTGTCCTGTGAGAGAGACATTGCGGCTGGAGCATATTGCTTACTGGAGTAATAAATGATGTAAACTGGAAAACATTCGTTTATGACAGCATAAATATCTAGTAAATAAAATTAATTCACAATTGTATTACATAGTAATTACACAATGGAATTAAAAGCAAACATATATACAAAGTGTAATCTTTGTAAGGTGCATAACAAAGAATATTAGTATCTTATTAGTATTAAATAATAATATGAATTCCCAGATTCTTTTAAGAAGTGTCTTATTAATGTTTTTAATTACATTGTATGTTTGTTTTATATTTAATGTTTTTATATAGTATTTTTTTATTTTCCTTTGTTCTGAAATAAATTATTTTAATACATTTTGATCATTTTTTTGGAACAAAATCACTATTTACTTTGTCTCTGTGATTCGAAGTTCATAGATAGAAGTTTACGTATAAACACACAACAAAATAATTTTTCCCATTTTTAATATAATTTAATAATTAATCCCACTAAAGAAGAAACATAACACATAAATACTGTATTTTTCATTTGATTTATTTATTTATTTTTATTAAATTTTTTTAAACGTGTACTCAAACAATATACCGAAAGGAATTTAAAGCAGACATACAAAGTGTACTTTTAGTAAGATGCATTACTACTACTACTACTACTACTTCTAATAATAATAATATTAATCATAATAATTTAATGTTTTATTACTTTTTTATTCTATTGTATTTATATATGTTTGTTTAATTTTTCTTTAAAAAAGCTCGAAAGGCATGCTGGGAACTGTAGTTTTTGCACTACACCGTTTACGGGGCGTATACCCGGATGCGGATGCTGACGTCCTCCTATGATCTGTCATAAGACTGGAGATCATCATCATTCACTCGGCGATTATGAGAGAGAGCCGTCTGGACCTTTGTATTACACCTGCCGTAAAATCACTATTAAACGGAATATTTCTTTTTTGTCGGAATTGGAGAGCTGAATGGACCTTCTAATCACTCATGGATGATTGAAGAACAGATTTAAGATGGTTTTTCCGCTAGTTTCAGCAGCGTTTCTGCCTCAATAACATATGTCCAGTAAGTTAGTGCTGAACTGTCATCGACAGGTTAGCCGGCGAGCTAAACAACAAAGCGTGACGGGTTAATCAATCTTTTTTTCATCATATCGTCTTGACAACAACATTTCGCTGGCTATTTTATTCTTGAATAACGCCGCAGCATGTTCTACATGGTTTGAACTTGTTTTTAGTATCACGAAGATGGCACTGGTACACGCATACTATTTATCTAATTGCTATCAGTTTTAATAGGATCAATACGATGCTTTCTCTCCTTCTTTCTGGGGATGTAAACTGCTGATCGTGTCACCCATGGTGACGGTTGCTATTAGAGACGAAGCATCTTTTTCCATGGCCCCATCTGGAGCTCCTCTTGAGCCTGTCTCTGCTGGGGATCTACAGTGATGTAGTTTTGTTGTTGTTTTGAAGGTGATGAGAGTAGCATGCAGACGTGTCACATGGGTGCCAAGGTGACAGGCAGGTGAGACAACAGCAATTGGCTGAGTAACACTAACGACAGGACTTTCGTGTGAGGAAAATTTGACTTGATCGTTCTTTCTTCCTTAGTCAATTTGTAATAGACACTAGAAGCATCTCAGAAATGCACCAGAGCTGCGTTCAGATAAGAACCAGAACTTTAAAGTTATTGAGCTAGAACAGTGAATGTATTCAAATGCTGTGGGTGTTACTAAATCTTCCCTGCATTATGTTTTTTGACGTTAAATTGGAAAATGATGGACCGGAGGTGGATGAACTCTAACTTGGTGCTAAATAAACACATCTAAGATAGGAAAAGTTGACTCAGACACCTGCCTAAGGTGTCTTCATTTATGGGAAGTCCATTGTGAAACCAGTGGATTTGAGCCATGTGGATCCTTCATTCTGCAACAATGTTGCCTGCTTTTTTGCTGCTGTTTCTTATGAGAACCTCCATCAGTTTGTCAGAAGCCATGAGTAGAAATGAGAAGAATAAACTGAGGTATGGGTCTGTGTGAGGAAACGCAAAATTATGACTTGCTTGCTGTATGATTCAGAAAGTTGTTTTTTTTATTTGAGAAATGTCTTTGCTTCTCAGGAACCAAGTGCTGGAAATGTTTGACCACGCTTATCAAAACTACATGGTATGTACACAGTGACTGATAACTTTCTTTGTTAACAGTTGGGTACAAGGAAATTTTAATGCTACTGTTCCAGTCTCTTATGCTTACCAAGGCTGCATTAATTTGTGCATAAATACAGTAAAAACAGTAATAATGTGAAATATTATTATAGACTTTAAATAAATGGTTTCTATTTTAATATATTAATAAAACCTGTGGTGAAAAAGCTGAATTTTCAGCAACATTACTCCAGTCTTCAGCGTTACGAATCATTCTAATATGCTGATTTGGTGCTCTAGAAACATTTGTTCTGTTATCAATGTTAAACAGTTGTACTGCTTAATATTTTTGTGGAGACTGTGATACTAAAGAAATCTTTTGTAACATTATAAATGTTTTACTGTCACTTTTGATCAATTTAATGCATTCTTGATGAATAAAGTATTAATATATTAAAAATAAATCTTACAACCGACCTTTAAACAAAAAAAATCTTTACACAAATAAGTTCCGAGTAGCAAAAATGACATACCATAGGTTTAGGGATTGGTTTATTTTTAGTTGTATGTAATTATGCATGATTTATTGCTACTAGTATGAATATAGTAATATAGCAATTACTGTAAATACATGTGACAAATGTAACAACAGCACATTAAAATAGGTGTTACTGCATTTCTTTCTTCTATGAAACACACAAAAAAAATGTGCTGCTCCATACAATGAAAGACAGGCAAGTGTTGTTTTGGACTCCACTGACTTTCATTGTATGGACAAAAACAGTTGAAATGTTCTTTTAAATATCTTCAAGTTCCACAGAATAAATAAAGTCAATTAAATTTGGACATGAATGTGAGTAAATGAAGCCAGAATTTAAATTTACATTATCCCGTTAACATTGCTGGTTTGCCAAGAAATGTCCCTAAACAGTGAAAAATACTTCTCAGAAGCCTCTGTTATGCCCAGAAGTGTCTCTAAGCAGGTTGGAAACATAAGATGTGTGAAACTGAAATGCGAAAACCTGCAGTTTAAAAAAAACATGCACAGGAGGATGGCGAGTATAGGGGAGGCAGATTAATGTTTGAGAGAACAGCATTATAATTAAAATCTGCCTGATTTCATCACATTTCATCTCTGTTTTGACAGGACCATGCCTACCCCGCAGATGAGCTGATGCCTTTGACTTGTCGTGGGAGAGTACGTGGACTAGAGCCCAGTCGAGGGGATATAGATGATGCCCTGGGGAAGTAAGTCTGTTGGAGAGAAAATAAAGACGGAGAGGAGAGGTGTAGAAATTTATTTTTATTTAGTTGTATTTAAAGAAAGACAGAGATGAAAACATGTTTTCCTGTTCCGTCAGGTTCTCCCTCACTCTCATCGACACTCTTGACACTCTTGCAGTGAGTAACATCTCAAACAGAAACCTCATACAAACACAAATTTGTACAGTCAAACCCAGGGTTGTTTGCTCATGACCTGCTCTGACATCTCACAGTTGTTAAATAAGACGGTGGAGTTTGAGGAGGCGGTGAGGAGAGTGGTGGCGGATGTACGGTTGGATAATGACATTGTGGTGTCTGTATTTGAGACCAACATCCGGGTGCTGGGGTGAGTAAGGCATCTGTCAGAGTTTCAAAATGGGCTGACAGAGTAAAAGACTACATTTTTGAACCCAGAGTAAATTGTGACCATTTTGGTTGTTTAGAACTTTACTGTTCTCCATAGTGGACTACTGGGAGGCCATTCCATGGCTGTCATGTTGAAAGAAAGTGGCCGAATGGTCTGGTACCAGGACGAGCTGCTGCACATGGCCAAAGATCTTGGACTCAGACTGCTGCCTGCATTTAACACCAGCAGTGGCCTGCCTTACCCTAGAGTGAGTAATTGCACACATGTACATGCATTGCATATACAATATGAATGATCAAAAATCATCACTGGAATGGAAATATGTCCCTCTTCCAGTCTTTTTAGACATGCTATGGTCTTGTTTAGAGCATTAATCTCTCTTTTTTTAGAGCATTAATTCTCTTGTTTTGAATCTCTTTTGAATCTGCTGTTCTGATCGTAGCAGTGCTTTGTTGAAGTCTGCCTTAGGGAAATGAACTGTGTGACTTCCCACAATGGCTGCACAATCTCATCATCAGCATGACCACCCCTTTCCCAGTTGCTGTTAGTTCATTATACAGACATACAGTTCCCATGTGTATGATTCTGATTGGTTCATCACAACATTCTGTGATAATTTTTTTTAATGGCCACTAAACTGTATACTTAGATAATGTCTAAGAAAACAAATTTTATGCTTAGCGTTATGCTAATTTCATGGCTTGTGACATGACAGCCGCCTCTTCATTCTCAAATAATTTTGATTTAATAACTGAACCTTCTTTAATGTAATAATATCAATTCTATTGTCCACTTTGATGTTAATCCCCATTTAATTATTATTTATCTAAAATAAATTAATGCTTTTATTTAGCAAGGACACATAAAAATTATCAAAAGTGACAATAAAGGCATTTATACTGTAATGTTACAAAATATTTCTATTTGAAATAAATGCTGTTCTTTTAAATTTTCTATTTATTAAAAGGTCCTGAAAAAAATGCTGAAATTGCAGTTT